GTCCTTAAAACAGCGGGAAGATAGGTACAACCCGTTAGGCTTAACCACAATTGTGGCTTATACCACGGTTAATTCTTCTAGTAACCGTGCTTATACAAAGACATACACAGTTGCCACTGCCGTGAATTGATTTCTTGCGCAAATTTACAGCATTTTGAAATCACATGCAAGTTTCGTCGTTTTACGGTGTGATTTATAAAAAAATTGTTCAATCTGTTGATTTGGAGGAAAACACCGCCACGTGGTTTATAAATTAGTTATTGAATCGATCACTGGCAAATGTTTTCTAACTCGCCTAAAATATTGCTCTCACACGTGCCGTAGAGCATTTTAACTACACCGGTTATTTCTGTGTACAGATACAAGATACATGACGAGCCGAAGATATTCATATTGAATAAACGAGACCATTAGAAAACTTACACGAGCATGTTTAACTGTGACTTTCAAGATGGGTGTTCACAACAGGACAGCACCATAAGCAACAGCGAGATCTGCATTTCGTCCGGGCGATATGTAAGCCGTATGCAACGAGATGACGGAAATTGTCCCAGAACGCCAAAATACAGTCTTCATGATGTAACCAAAGGTAAGATATATGCTAAATGTAATGCATTTCCCTTGTTCTACCCCTTGCTCCAATCACTCGTCTAACATTACGAATATACTAATAAATTGCAAAGGGGCTATAGCCTTTAAAGGGGGCAGTCGTCGTGCCGCGTTCTGCTCGATATGGGACTCATAGCGACGTATACAACGCATGTAAAATACATTGTTTGTTTACACGAAATTCGAACACGCGCTGCGCGGCGACCACCACCCTTTAAGTCGACGCTTTGTAATTGATCAAGCTGTGTTATTTTGCCCAAACTGTAAAAAAAAAAATCGTACTTTGGCCAACTTGAATACCGCGCTTTGGAAATTAGACTATTCAATATGTTTTGGGGTGCCGCTGATGTGTTTGATATCTTGCTTGTTTACCCAGAATGCAACACACGACAGTCAACTTTCATAAGTGATAAGAAGTCGCCATGCCTGCCATGCTGTCGTATATGTGGTGATTTCTCGTCGGGCATTCATTATGGAGTGGTGTCATGCGAAGGATGTAAGGTACGAATAAGCTAGTAACGGGTTCCTCTCCTCCCCCGAGATCGAGATCGTGGATGCTGTGATGGGATGATAATTACCTGAAAAATTCTAATCAAGTCAGATTTGTTAATAATTGACACACACTGATTTAAGGGGCTTTGTTTGTCCTTGGAGGACAGTCACATTTTGATATGTTAAGCTACATCACAGTCCCTCTATCATAGAGGGACTGTGGCTACATGCTACATGAGATAAATACGTGGGAAAGTCTGGGAAGGATATCTGTTTTTAATATTTTATATTTCTTAAGCAATTACAACATTTTACAGATGTTATTTGTTTGCCATGTGTACTTCATATGTTGAGAACCGAACACACATGTTGACACGCAAGTTGATTCCTGTGTCTTCGGCCGTACTTGAGATATGAACGATATATACACGCATGCGCATGCAGGTGTTGCACATTTGTGTGTGAACGTTACGCCCTCACACCTACACATCTAAGTCAAGTTTATCTTTCAGGGTTTTTTCCGTCGATGCATCGCACAGAAAAAAGTGTTTGCAAAGTGCCTGAAAGGAGGTGAATGTCAAATACAAAAGTCCAACCGAGGCAGATGCCCCGAATGCCGCTACAAACGATGCGTAGCTTCGGGGATGTCCATTCATTGTAAGTTAAACGCCTACTCAATTTAAATTGTACTGGTCGGTTGGAGACATCAAACTGAAGAGGAGTATTTTGACCGTTATTTGAGTCAATTCAACACCGTCATATCTATACAACCAACGTTACGATCATCGACCTTTAGCGTTATCAATATGAAAATATGATACCGTTAGCTGACATTCTGTCTGGAACATGTTCACGCTTGATATTTAATTTGATATTTAAACAACAAATATGCAAATTTGTGGGGAAATAAAATAAAATTAAATAAAATTAAATAAAATTAAATTAAATTAAATTAAATTAAATTAAAAATAAAATAAAATAAAATAAAATAAAATGTGCATCGGAGAAACATCATCAGAGGAACTAGCCTAATATTGGTCTAAACAGGATAACTGATCACAATACAATTTAATTTATTCGCAGATTTACTAACTCAACTGCATGCAAATGGTGCAGACAACTATTACCTTTCATTGGATAAAATTAAATGATATATATATTTTTCAAAATTGTGATTCATACTGGGACTATGCCATTCATTGACTATGTTTAACGGATCACATCATTTACGTTTATGTATCTCGCAGCTGTCAGAGTTGGTCGGTACTCGAAGCGGCAGAAAATCAAGAATCAAGCGGATGCCGAGAGATTTAGTGATAAGAACTGTACAGCAGATGAAAAACTCGCCATGGATAAGAATGATATTGTTTTATATAACATTATTACTAATGTGATGGTGGCGCATCAATTGACTTGCCAAGTAAGTTATAACATGCGTTATTTTATTTGTTGCTGAACGTTTACTAGTTTCGCCGGATGCTTTCTCCTATTGTGTTTTATACAATTATTGCGATAAATATTTATTTGTAACAAACTTAGCAATATTCGTTTTTTTAAATAATAAAAACGCTTTGTTTTAATTTTTCGTTTTTACTCACGTGACACGTGATGTGTTATGTTGAGAATCAAAATTCAAATTATGGTTGTAAATATGACTGAATATCGTTGTCGTCCATATTCAAATTACAACTATTTAGTAGCCTTGTTCTGATTGGCTTAGTAGAAAAATAACGTAAAACATTACTAAAATGGAATATCGGAGCGTTCTATATTTGAACACAACAAAAAAACGCTAAGAGTCTTCAAGGGATACAGTGTTTTCAGAAAAGCCGTTTACATATTTTATAACTACGTTCTGAAAGCACTGTATTGCACTGTTTCATTTATTTCGGCATCCACTGTAACATACAATAGTCCTATGATGACGGGAAAGTCTAATTATATCCCAAAAATCATCTAGTTATATAGGAAGGGCAATTTGTAGTTGTTTCAGCAATGTATGGCCTGCATGTTTGGCACAGAAAGTGTTCGGTCACTCTGACAAATACTCAATTTTGTCAGCTATCCGTATTGCTTATGTAATATATTAGATTATAAGTCATCGGTAGAAATAACATTCAAACACAGGGCAAGAATCGGGGAACAGTGTAGACTAGTTTTATAATCTAGAGTTAAAAAAATAATCACAATGTTACATTTCCGAATGCTGATATCCCGGGGTTACGGAGGATAATGAAATGACACCCACACTTTGGGCCGCTTCAAGGTATAATTCTATCAAATGTGATGATAATTTGGATGATAGAGCTGACCGAAAGCATTTTATGAATGTTTGACCTTTGAATGTTATGTCGCAACTCATCATATACTTTATTAATATCACTCGCAGCAATCAACGCATGAATGGGACTTACCTGGTGAAGCGTGTTTCCATGACAATGCCTCATCTTTGGCTATAACTTCCCTTTTGAATAATGACAATGAATTTGATGAGTTACTGGATATTTTCACTACGTCGTGTTTTCTGACTGATGTATTGTCCCCCAGTGTACATAATGTTGTACAATTTGCCAAGTCTTTGCAGGGGTTCAAGGACTTATCACAGGTAAGGGGCGCAACTCTCAATATGTATTTTCCACGCGTTGTGTACGTCACTGTGACTCCCATATCGAACAGAACGTGACTTGACGACCATCGCCGTTTAATGTATGTATTCCAGCGCTCCCCATTCAATACAACATTTACATATACGACAATTCAGTTTGAAGAACACGTATAACTTTGAGGATTGTCACCAAAAACACCTCTCTAGCCTCGTCAACAGCAGGACTCTGTCTAAATCACCAGCGGAAGCTTCTCAACGCACCAACCCTGCATAAAGCTAATTAATCAGCAGAACCCCGCCAAAGTTACTAACATTAATCATGTCGAACTCAGCAATGGAACCCTGCCCACGTAACTCAGCCTAACTCAATCAAAAGAATCTTGCTCAGAATTACCTGCCTAACTAAATAACAGAACCCTACCCAGAGTTACAAACATACGTCTGGCCTAAATCAATAACAGAATCTTGCCCAGAGTTACAAACATAAGTCTGCCTAACTCAATAACAGAATCCTGCCCAGAGTTACAAAAATAAATCTGCCTAACTCAATAACAGAACCCTACCCAGAGTTACAAACATAAGTCTGCCTAACTCAATAACAGAATCCTGCCCAGAGTTACAAACATAAATCTGCCCAACTCAATAACAGAATCCTGCCCAGAGTTACAAACATAACTCTGCCTAACTCAATAACAGAATCCTGCCCAGAGTTACAAACATAAATCTGCCT